AAAAAGTAATGCATTACTGTTAAAAGTCATTTTTGAGTTACTTTTGCAAAGAACATTTTAATGCTCCCAAAAAAAAAGCCGATATTACGTCAATTTGGTGCTGCTTGGAAAATACACTGTTGATCAGCTTTTAATTAACAGTTTTAATTAATTTGCATTCTCACAACTAAAACACAAGACAGACTTAAACAAAAAGTTATTTTTTTAACACTAGTTTAAGTCAGACCAGCAGCACAAAAATAAAATATGACGAGATGATAAACCAGCTAAACAATATATTCAGAAAAAAAAAAAGTAAAGTTGCTTCAGCATCATAAAAGTTTGTATTTGTTCATTCACAGCTTGAGTATGAAAACAAGCAACAGTAATCAACAAACACAAAACCTTTGAAAAATAAAGTAATCTGAATTATCATTCAGAATCAATTTGGTAAAATCCAGCACCAAAAAACTGCTACTATAGACAACCATAAATTATATGAATTTTAAACGAAAACAAAACCACTGCTCAAAAATAAAGTCTAGGAGCTATTTAAACTAACCACAAATTAAAAGTAGTATGTGAGCAACTTATGGATAGTAAGCTGTGTATATTCAAAGTGCAAAATCTGCTTTTGTATACAGCTATAAAAAAAATGTAAAACAATAAAATCACTACATTTTGTTCGAGCAGTACAACACTATACATTTAAATAACGTGTTTTGAAATATAACAGAAATTTGTCACTGTGTCTACTAAACTAATCATTTTTGTTATACAAATAACAAATGTGTGCTTATTTATTTGAAATAACAAGCATAGTAATATTAATTAATAATGTCAATAGTCTCTCTGTCTCTCGAGCACACGTGGTCTACCTTGCGCGCATTCAGTCTCTCTCGCGAGCACACTTGACCTCTCTTGCACACACCAGGTCTCTGTCATGTGCACTCGGTCTGTTTTCACTTGACTTTTTCCAGTCTGGTCACATCATACATGATGCGTCTTCTTTACGATGGTTGGTTGGCATCCACCAATCCCACAATGCATCACCTCTGTAAACAGGTAAATGTGGTAGACTGCAGACAAAATTAATTCATTTGTGTAGTAAGTAATGGACATACGCATCATATTGTAACTATAACGGAGTTACTATATTGAAAAAGTTATGCGTTACATTATTAGCTACTGTCAAAAGTAACGTGTTATTAGCCCTCACTGAATGTGACTATGGCAGATTTAAACACTGCAATATAGATTCTAAACCCCTATTAACTACATTGTTAGACCATTAGGTGGCAACAAGGAGCTGTTAAAAATATGTTTGCCATTTACAGTAATTATCCTTTTTCGTGAATTAGTTCAAAAACATTGTCTCAAATAGTAATGAAACAAGTAAAAACCTTGAATGAGCCAGTGAATCATTTATACAATTTTATGAAAAAATACATAATTTTTTTTTTATTAAACTAAAATAAAGTATAATTAAAAACGCTGCTGTGTTTAACATTTTGTCAAAACCACAAATGTTTTTGTTATTTTTGTTTTGTTTTTAAGTTGTTTATTCAAAAAAAAAACATTAAAAAAAGACTGGTTCTAGAAGTTGGAGGTCTGTATTTCTGCCATCACATTTTATGCGACTTGGAATTAGATTGAATTATAGCAGTGGCCTCTAGTGTGTACTTTCTGTGACAATAACCTTTGACCACAGTGTATCTGTACTCGATACACATTTGAACTTGGAAGTTAACAAAATATTCTGCAGCGATTGTGTTCACGCAGTTCCTAGTTCCATGCCCTGAGCTTTCAAGCAAAAGGAGTTTTTTGCATCCCAACCACAAGTGGATCCTCTGAATGAGAATTCAGCCTTTTTGGCTAGATTTTAGAGAAACATTTGATACTGAAAAAGCTGCCTTTCAGTGACATCCTGATTTTGCCTTGGTTAAAAATATATTGTAGCTATTAGCACCATGTTTTCAGAATCTCACATAAATTATACAGAAAATGAGCATTGGTCAAAATAACAAAACTGTCTTCAGCTGTTCATATTCATTTTAGCACAATACCAACGTTTTAACTTCTGAAGACAGAGGAAATAAACAATTGGTGAATTAACTCAGATTTTCAACGACAAGATAAAATCTATGATGAGGTCAGGCTGCTGGACAGTCAGGATGTTGCACACTTAGCCATGATGAAGAGACCTGACCTAGGCGTCACCTTCATCAAACTCCAATGCTGGAGATGCTTACAGATTTATACTTATCCTACACTTACTATTATTCTATCCAATATCATTTTCTGGGGAAAAAAAGTGCTCAATTAATTTTTCTCTTGACATTTTTTAAAGAAATGTTATTAGACCTTTGGAAAATAGAGCCAATATTAACATTTTACCCAAGCACACACCTAGTAGTACACCTACATTTTTATCCCACATAAATGTTCGTCTTTTGTGCATTACAATATTCAAGTGATTAAAAAATGTACCTCTCCTGCGATAAATGATGTAGAAAATCAAAAATTAATTCTAATTGAATAATTTTGCCCTCACTTGACCTTCTTCGGCGCTAGCCCTACAGCAGTTTTTAATTCGAGTGCGCTGAATATAAACACCCCTCTCATGACTCTCCATCTCCGCATCAGCATCTCTCCTCCAGGAAAGAAGCCCAGCGGCGTGAGCGGCTTCCAGTCTCGGTGTTCGAATTGCCATTGAAACGGGAAGACAACAGACAGAGCATGATTCTAATGAAACATCCTCCCATTGTCCTCCAAATCATCTCCGTTTATTGAATGCGCTGCAATCCACACCTGGCTCCAACCCTGGAGAGCTTCCGCAGCCTCTATCTCTGCCTCTCTCTCTGTAAACGCAGGATTAGCCATTGAAAGAGCATTCTTGGTTATCAAATTCATACAAACGGCGTTTGCTTTTGTGTAGTGCTTTTAATTAAATCCTACCGGGGGGCTGGAACTGACCTTTTGAGTGGAGAACTGATTAAGCGCACAATGGCCAGTTATTTCTGAACCACAGTCTGTTGCATAGAGCCGCTGATTAACTTTCTGTTTAGGATGACTTGGCTTGAATCTCATTCGCGCACAGGCCAAGGAGAGGAGGTGGAGGAAAAAAAAAGGAGTAATCAATTCTGGTTTAGAATGTAGATTAGGAGCGATAGCATCAGGTAATTAACAAGGGTAAGGGTGGCATTTTTGTACGTGGAGTACAGTGAAAAAAGGGCTTATTTGAGAGCCGAGATGGATGTTTAAGAGGATAAAGGTGAAATCAGGGTGGGTAGGTTTTTCTTTGAAAGGATTAGTGGATTGTTATCATGCGCTCCCCCTCTGAAAAGCGCAGTGCAATTATGACAGATGTGCGAAATCATAATGGACAGGCTGGCAGCAAAGTTTCTGCTAAGTCTGGAAGTCTCTCATAATGTGTGAATATGAGCAGAAAAGCAGTGAAGAACCATGCTATTTTGCAAAAATAGCAGTAATCTAAAATGTTGGTTTTTTGTTTTAATATATTTTGAACAGTAATTTGTCTATTGGCAAAGTTTTACTGCTTCTTTGCAGAAGTTATACTTTTGTATCAGAATTATTTGATAAACAAAGTTGTAAAGAAAAGCATTTATTTGTAACAGAAATGTTTTGAAATATTATAAATGTCTTTTTCACTTTTTTATGCATCCAGTGTGGGAAGACTTTTGGTCATATGTGACGATGCCTTAAAATTACTCACCAGGTTCTCTTAATAATTTTGTTCTTTTGTCAATAGTAACCACTGTGTACATTCTGGCTTTACATTTATTAGGCCTACCAGTAAACATTTGCAATAAGTGTTTGTATTATTTTTTCAAACCAAAAGAAAACAATAAAAGATATTGAAGTAAAAAAGAATTCATTGATTTATGAAGTAAAAAAGCTCTAAATAATGAAATTATGGGTTAAAAATTTACCTATTATTTGACATTGATGTTTCAAATAATTATTTTGAAAATAAAAATTAGGCACTTGCATTTAAACCACTTTCTATGCCGACAATAACAACAAAATAGTCACAACCCAACAATGGAAAACATCCATACACTCTTGCAATTACACACACACACACACACATGCGCGCTATGGCCAATTAAGTTTATTTAATTTTGGAAAACTGGAACACCTATGCTAAATATAAAATCTTATTTTATGCTATATATATTAGGGATGCTCCAATCGATCTGCCGAAAATCGATATCGTCCGATAATCACATTTCATTACTCAATCTGTACTTGCTAAACTGGCCAATCTCATGGACAGATCGCATGTGATTGTTTATGTTTACAAGCAGAGGAAGATGCACAAGTGCTCCCCTATATTATACATAGCCTACGCTGAAGTAAAATGAATAAATAAATTATTTTTGTAAAGCTGCTTCTGGCCATGACGTGTTCACACCTAAATGGTTATTATAAGAGAAGTGTTTAAGGTAGTATATACAGCATGCTTAGTTTATTCTTGGGTAAAGCGAGGTCTTCCCTTAATGATCATACATAGAGGGAAAATGTGTTTAATTCATTATAAAGCTTGAAGCATTAGAATCGGTACTCTGTATCAGCCAATCACCATGACAAGGAATCAATACTCTGTATCTGCTGCAAAAATCCCTAATAAATATGCGAGTACCTACTTTTTATTTTCAAAATAATTCTTTGAAACATCAATGTTAAGTCATGGGGAAAAAATATGCTCAATCATCATTTAGTGTAAAAAAAATAAACAATCATTCTAAAATTACATTTTCGTTTTTAATATATATATTTGCTTATTCAAAATTTGTGTGTGTGTGTGTGTGTGTGTGTGTGTGTGTGTGTACTTTTTAAAATATTGCATTTGGAAATGCCAATGATTTAAAGATGAAGTACTTTAATGCTGTGTAATTAATTTTTTCATGCTCTCAAATAAGCATGCATTATTTATATGTTTCAATGTCAGTACGTGTTTTTACTTTGCTCTTTTTTTTGTTCTTTGTGTGTATTAGGGTGTGTCTGAGTTTCGAGCAGGTCTCTCTCTGCAACCCACTAGTCATCATCTCATACCCTCCAGCAGGGGACAGCCTGACCCAGAAGAACCCCGCATCAGACCCTGCCGCAGCCCTGGTGAGACCACATATCCAAACAGCACAGAGTGCTCCAGACGGCTGAGCAAACAAGGCTACAAACACATCCGGTCTCAGAAGCTGTATGTTTAGATGCACTTTTTTTTCTAATAGAACCATCTGTTCCCTTTCTTCACTAGAGTTAGGACACTGAAATCTAACCTTGTAATCTGAATCAGTAAATCAGTGTTCAAATGTTTATTATTTTAAGGCAAGACTGTGGATTTTTTATATTAAATAAAACAACTCTTATTCAATGTAATATGCGCTAATTTGTTTACATTTCTATCTTAAAAACTATGAAGACTCAAATTTTTCCTTTTTATGCTGAGAATTACATTTTTCCACTCCAGAATCAGACGCATTGGCCAGAAAAAAACACAACTATTTGTAGAATAAAATCTTGTATATAATCATGCAACTTATCTTAGAATTCTGGAATCTTAAAATTATAGAATTAGAATTTAATATTCAATCTCAACAGTTTAATTATCTTTTCTTTGCATATGACTATAAAACTCTTTAAGAGAAGCTAAAAACCCCACAAAGACTGATAGGTGCATGACAAAAACTTGTTTTGCCTGCAATGCTACTGCTTTCATTTTAGCAGAGGTACATTAAAGTGGGCAAAAGTGACTCTGAAGTCATTTCTAATGTTTTTAAAACATTTCCATTTCAAATATATGCTGTTTTTAATGTACTTTTATATTTTTATTGTTTATACTATTATTTATTTATTAAAGAGGTCTGAGGGGAAAAGTGCTTAACTGTTTTCAAAGTTAAGAAGAAATATTTGCTAACATTCAAATCAACATTTTGGAATGATTTTTCAAGACACTTGCGACTCTAAAGTCGGGAGCGAAGCTGACAAGTTATGAATGAATTACATTTTAACGCATATTTAAATGTGAAACATTTTGAACTGTAATACATTTTGTCAATACTTCATGCTAATTTTCTTTGAGTAAATGCATGCTTGATATGCATACACTTGTGAAGAATGCAGATTAGATATATGAATTCTCACTCTGAACGACACAGAAATGCCCATTTGCCTGTTTGACCTTTGCTCCATCCTCAGCACCTGCTGTATGCAGTCAAGACACCCGAGGTGCAAACAGAAGTAGAGATGTCACATTAGATCAGCGGAAATATGGCAATATGGCACCCGCATGTTCACTTCCCCTCTCTCTCTTTTTTTTTTGTCTTTGATTCACCCCTCCTTCAAAGAGCCGGCGTTCCCAGGACAGCATATGTTTGATCAACAGCACTGTGCTTCAGTCTTGGACACTAATCCGCTTCTCGCTGGACCTGCTCCCATGGGCTCCATTCAGCCTGGAGGAAATGAGAGTGACCCCTGGAGGCCCAGTCCAGCTTTGCAGGAGCCCAGTGATCTGTCAAAGCCTGGGACTCCCCACCGCGGGCACTGCTCTCTCCAGAAACATCCATCAGCTCCGTCCGGCTGCCGGTTTAACGCTCCCTCTGGACAGTCACAGGTAACACAGGTAGTAATACTTATAAAGCATTATAAGGGTTATCTTAATGTATTATAATTGGTGGTTATAAATGATAAAACCTGATTATTAGCATCAAAGTTAAAAGTTTGCATGTGTAATGTGTATATGCATTGTGTACACAAACATATATATATATATATATATATATGTGTGTGTGTGTGTGTGTGTGTGTGTGTGTGTGTGTGTGTGTGTGTGTGTGTGTGTGTGTGTGTGTGTGTGCGTGTGTGTGTGTGTGTGTGTGTGTGTGTGTGTGTGTGTGTGTGTATTTTTTTGTATATTTTATTTGTATTGAAAATAAATATTTTTATCAATACAAAATAAGCCTTTTCTCAAATATAAAAATAAATAAATTAATAATATAATATTTTTAAGGGGAGAAGCATGTTGATTTGTAAGGTAATGTAATTTTTCAACTGTACATTTGAATAATAAACTAGAAATTATCGCTTCAATTTAATTTGAGCAAACACTGTCATTGTGTTTAGAGGTTTTCTAACACAAGTGTGTGCATAATTGTTTTTATTGTTGTATGAGCCACTCATCACTTTTCATTTTTCTTTTGCTGAAATACCAGTGTACATTTAAATATAGAATATGAGGTTATCAGGAATTAATGCATGATGCGAGCAATACGATTAGGAATTCTTGTTTAACTCTTGTTTTGATTATCTGTCAGTTAATACATTTTATTTGTTTTAATAACTGGACTATCCATGCATTATAATGCTATAAGAATACCTTAATAAAGCATTATATAAACACAGGGCGCACAGAAAGTATTACTAATCTCCATAACATGTGGACGCCATGTGGGTGTCACTAGACCTCATTTACTGGGGCACGTGCCCCAGTAAAAATTGCCAGTGCCCAAGTATACGCTTTGAGATACGATTTACTTTATATGCAAGTGTATTTAGCTATTAAGAGTGGTAATCCCAGAATAAAGACGTTATTCTCTATATGAAAACGAACCAACACTGATGAAAGCAATGTAGTTTAATCAAAAAGCAAACTGAGCATGTGCACAGAAAAAAAAGAGCTTGATGCTAATGCGCTGCCCTGCTCCCGGTACGGTTGTGAACATGCACGCCAAAAAAATAGCCGCGCCGCTCATGCGTTGTGAAACCGGCATAACACTCTTTTATGAGGTGTCACACGCAGTGAGTTTTGCAAGTCGACAAAACAAAGTTCATATATATTATGACTGTGATCTTATTTATACTTCACGGCTCCTGATCGATTGTTTTTGATATGAAGCAGAAAGGAGGGATGAAATGACATGAGTCAAGTCTAAGACAACACAACAGATAATTCTATAAAACACATTTTTGTACTGTATTGAATTGTCTATAAAATTTCATTCTAATAAAATTATTATCCATGCAAAGATTTCTTAAATTATCTCATCACTCCAGTTGTGTCTTTAGATTGTTTTCCAGTTACATTTAGGATTAATTTCTGTTATTTATTTAAAATAATAATTTGGAATTTTTTTTTTGGAGGGGGTGCTGTGCCCCAGTAGAGCTTTGTCTAGCAACGCCCCAGCTATCCTCTAACAATCCTCATTGTCAATTATTACATGAATACTCTCTAGATGAGGGGTGCCAAAACTTTTTATTATAAAGGGCCAAAAACCTAATTTGATTGAGGGTAGTGGTTCTAAAGTAAATATACCAAACTCTATTACATTAAAGTTGCCATGGATAATTTGCTAATTTATATAAAATTTAAAGGGCACCTATGATGAAAATCATCTTTTGTAAGCTGTTTGGACAGAACTCTGTGTAGGTGTAGTGTGTCCACAGTTATATTGGGGTGATATAAAGACAATCAGTCTCTTTTGATTTTGTTTCCGGATGTTAAAATAGGATCCAAATCTCTTTCATTTTGAGGCTCACCGCAATGTGATGTAGAAGTGCGGTTTCCCCACCCACCGAATTGATTGACAGGCGCATATTAACATGTCTCCGTAGTAACATTTATAATCATATCAACAAGACAGGACGTGCGCAAAGCAACTGGAATTAAAAGATCTTTTTAGCTCGTAATTATTAATTGTCATCAAATGTGATCAAGAATAAGTTTTACAAGTTTAAAACGTTTTTAAAACTGTGCATATTTGTAATGAATTACAGCGATTTACCGTCTTTATCCCCACAGCTGCATGTCAGTACATTTATAAAAGTTTGTGGACGTTAAATCATGTTTATTTTGAACATTAACATAATGGATATCCATACAGCAGTGGAAATTAACCTGTCACAACAGTGTGAAATTAAGCCTGTCACATTTGCTGTGCAAAACTTGAAAAAGTGCAAAACTTGCAAAGTTAAACGAACGTGCTGTGTGTGCAAAAACAGCTATAAGATGCTCAGAGCTAAAAATTACAAACTTCTGAAAGGTAATAATAAATAATATGATTGGTGTTTTGAGCTGAAACTCATAGAAATAGACACATTCTGGAGACACAAAAGACGGATCTTAGATCTTGAAAGAGGAGTACAATATGTGCCCTTTAAAAATAACTGAATAAAAAAAGATTTATATTAACCAATGTAGTATAATCTTGTTTAATTGTATAATGAACGTATAACAGTAAAAACAAAAACAATCCCATTTATAACAGAAAGAAGTTACACTAGTCAAGCTGCACCTATTTTTGCCTTGATTCGGTCACCAATGTCTTCTGCATTTTCCTGTGTCCGATGAGTGTCAGTGTTTATATTTTAAGAAATCTGATTCGGTAACATTTTAATTCAGTTTGCTTTTTTTTTTTTTTTTTTGAAACAAACAAAAAAGGTTACTTTTAAATTAAAATGACGATTTCTGTAAAAAAAAAAAAAAAAAAAAAAAACTGCCCATAATTAACCCTCTCTTCTCAGATGACATGGTGGGCCAAATCACAGCAGGCCATAGTTTGAGCATCTCTGCTCTAAATCCTTTACCTTATCATTAGGCTTAGTGTTCTTCTGTAATTTAATACCAAGTTCCTGTTTGCCCAGTTTATTAGGTCGTAGTATAGCATAGTGGTTATGTTGTAGCATAGTGGTTAGTTAACATTGCTTTGGCTAATTAAAATGCGGACAGCATGACTTGACAAAACAAAATGCCAGCATAAAAGAATTAAAGGCACCAGAATTGATAAGTAAATTAATTTAATTTTGAGTGTAAAATGTATGAATGATCAATAATGGTAAGCTTGTTTGTTGTCATAGACAGTTGGACCATAGGCTACGCTGCCCTCTAGTGTTTTAAGGCAGTTTTGGGCAATTGTTTGCCATTTAGGATCAGTAGGCTGAGCTGGATCATTACTACATCAAGGCTTTTTTTTTTCTTAAACAGATCAATACATACACAAGGAAGAGAAATAATCCTCTGGCCATCCTAGAAGTATTTTTAAACATTTATGCAAAATTGAGCTGTGAACTTGGCCGTGCTTATGTGATATTTTCATTCTGTGAGTCTCAAAGTAATTTACACCACATTCTTTATATTATAAAGGCTCATTTTAGAGATCTTTTTAATGACTTCAAAAACTCAGATATGATTATTTTGCTTTGTTTTGTTTGCACATGATGGAAAAACTCTAAACTCTTGATTCATCCATGTGGAAAAAAGAATATAATATGATATAAATATTGAGTTTGAGTGCAAATTATTTTAGAATTCAGAATTTTAAAATAACTCATAACAGATTTTATATCCAATTTTAGCTAATCATTTTCAATTTAATTGAAATAATTTGGTATTTTAATTTGAATAGTGTCTCTTTCAAAGTATATATTAATTCAGCTGAATTGGTATCCAACAAAATCAGTTCATAGTAACGCAGTATAGTATATCGTTTCATCATGGACATTGCAAATCCTGCAATGTGACTACCTGATGTTCACACTGCAAAGTCGGGGTTAAAATGGAAAGTTTCACTACACTTAACTACAGAATCATTCCATCCAATCTAAAACTATGGAGCTATTCAAGTCATCTGGCGAAATTGTATTCATATTGCATATTCTTTGCAGAAAAAGTATTTATTGCAGAAAAAAAATGTATTGCATTGCCTGTGTGTATATAGTGGTAGAAAGAGTATTGAAAAATCATACTCAAATTAAAGTACCATTACTTGCAAAACAAAATGCAAATAGAGTTAAAGTATATATTGCAAATAATATTTAAAGTATGAGTAAAAAGTATCCCTTTTAAAAGTACTCAAGAGTAGTGAGTATTATGCTAGGAAAGGTTTATGCATTTACATGCAATTTGTGTGTGTGTGTGTGTGTGTGTGTGTGTGTGTGTGTGTGTGTGTGTGTGTGTGTGTGTGTGTGTGTGTGTGTGTGTGTGTATGTGTATGTGTATGTGTGTGTGTGTGTGTGTGTGTGTGTGTGTGTGTGTGTGTGTGTGTGTTTGTGTTTTTATACCTGAGTATTATGTTCAAATGTTTGGTGTATTCAAGAAATGAAATGTTTTGTTATGTTGAATGTGATCAAAATCACAGCAATATTTTGAAATAATACAACCCTAAAAATTCACTGTTTTAATTATAAAATGTATTATAAATGTTATTCATTTAAAGCATCTCCAGTGATGTATTGTATTAATTTTACTATAAATAATAATTATAATTTATTTTACTTCATGTGTAGCATTCTGGCATACCTTGGTGTAATCCAGCAAACCTCAATGGCCTGTTAGCATGACTGATCTCTTATTACCAACTGCAGCACGTATCCATTTCTAAAACCGCCTCCATCCCACTCAGAAACCTGCTGTGCTGGTAAGAGCTGTTGCCAGGATGGTGCAGAATGCCAAGCCCATGGCAGTTGCCAGGGGGATGCCCATTACTGCAAGGCAGCCAGCATGTGCCAAGTCCACGATAACTGCCAAAACTCCACCAGCGCCGGGGACGGTGGGAAGAAATGTGGGTCAGAAGGTCAAGGTGGAGCCCCAAACTCCTCGGGCTACTCAAAAACATCCCGCAAAGCCGCTAAACATGACAAACGACAAAGAGGTCAGTGACAGTCACAACTTTATTAGATTAAAATCTTGCTGATGAAGACATTTACTTCTAACTCAAAATCTCCAGAAACGCATTCAGAGATTAGGTTTGAAATTTAAAGATGTTTGGCTTTATTATCAGTAAGCTTGGGTGTACCATTCAGCATCATTTCATAGTTTATAAATCAATGCATGTGTAATTTCTCTTTCTTTTTTTTTCTGGACTTTAAAATGGAAGTGTGGTAATAGAGCCTTTCACCCGGTGCTCAAGGTCAGACAGTCTGTGTGAAAGCTGTTCATTAGACCAATTATTACCTCTAACAATGCAGTCAGGAGGAAATCAATAGCCACTGTCAGGGCTGTTTCAAAGCCTCGCTCTGAAAATCAATCAGTCCGGCTTCTATCTGCATTCTCCTCCTTCAGTCATGTTCAGACAGCAGACATTTGCCAATATCAGCAAGGATTTTTGTTAAAAAAAAAAATACACACACACTAATTATACTTGGCAGAATGTCTGTGCCTAAAGCAATAACAGAACACAGGAGCAGCTGCATCTAATAATGATTTTGGTTTTAATTAAGTGTTCATTATTACAGAAAATTATGTACTAATAAATGCCTGAGCTTGGTGTGATTATACCCGTTTTATTGGTTGTTTTATGATCCTCAGCGTGAGGAGTATATTCTCTACATGCAGAAGCTGGAGGAGCAGATGCACCTGAGGAGACAGGTTATCAAACACAAAGAGCGCATGCGATCTTTACGGGCCGCAAACAAGAGGCGTCTGCGACTGGAGCACTTCCAAACTGATCTGTCCACTGCACACTGCTGGAACAACAACCAAAATCAGCAGAAACCACCATGTTTTCTCAGTTCTTACCCTACAAATGCTATGCCCCAGCAGCACTTCTATAATCCCCATGACTGTCTCGTCCTGCAGTGCCATCCACAATTGCATCCCCGGCCTCCACAACAGCAGATGTACCAGATTTTAGTACCCGCATTTCAGCCGCCCTGTCATCAAGCTCTATCGGCTCAAGGGACTCCAGCAGAGGTGCAGTATAATCAGGCTTGTCATTCGGGCACTGGCAGGGTGGTGTTACAGAAGATGGAGCAGTTTGCAGATCACATGAGTCTACAGTACAGTATAGATGAGGCTCGTTTTGCTGGTCTGCAGGACGTTCAGCCAGGAAGGAAGAGAATGATAGAGCAGAGGATATCTGATGGGCCCGTTCCTGCCAAAAGCAAAGTTGTTCAGTACTTTACCACAAGTGTAAGTACAGTTTTTTTTCCTTCCATGAATACCACTCATTATTAGTTTTTGGCAGTTATATTTATCAAAATATCCTGTATTAAGTTTCGAGACTGGGAAGTAACCTTTTCCATTGCTTGAATTGCTGAGGTGAATGATGTTTTTTTTTTTTTCGTTTGTTCAATCTGAAAATTAAAATATGACATACTTTTATATGAGTAAACTAAATATATACTTTTCAGATTAATTAAATCACGTCCATATATATATTATATTATTATATAACTCATTATAATAATTTTTTTATCCATATAGATGAAAATTAATGTCTAAATCAGGGGCACTCTCTGGAGAACCGGTGTCCTGCATAGATTAGCTTCAACTTTCTTCAGCACACCTGCCTGGAGCTTTCTACTATACCTAGCAAGATCCTGATTAGCAGGTTTAGTTGTGTTTAATTGGGGTTGGAACTAAAATAAGCAGGACACCGGCCTTCAAGATCCTGTCTATATAGTCAATTTGGTTGAATCAGACCATTAGTTTCATTAATTTAGTTAATTCACAGTTTACTTTGAAATGTTTAAAAACAAACATGGTAAAGGAGTAGTTCATCCAAATATCAAAATTAATATTAATTACTCTCTCAAGCTCTTAAGCTATAGACAGCAATTGTTAAAACTTGTTAAAAGTTCAGAATAAAAACATAAACATCTTCAAATCAGACCACATGCCTTCAGTATTTCAATTTGAATATCATCAGGCTACAAGAATATATGTTTGAGCACATAACACAAATAAATACTTAATTCAAAAGGCTGCGTTCACGAGCATTGTGCATTGATGCATTTCCCAGATGCCCACGCGTGAATTCCTCTCTTTGAAACAAAGCACAGACGCATCTGAGATGTCTCATAGCGCTTTTGTATCATATCGCTCTTGTGATCGAGCACTGTATACTGACACGGAGAAGAAGAAACTGTTGAATAATGTCTTGTTGTGTTCTGTGTGCACAAAAGTATTCTCATACCTTGATAACATTCTAATTGGAAAGCAGATCGTGACGACATATGGTCTGTTTGAAGAAGTTTTTTTTAATCGTTTTTTCTGGACTTTAAAAAAGACAGGACCATTGCAGTCTATGGTGGATGAGGGAGTTCTCAGATTTGATCTAAAATATCTTCATTTGTACCTGAATGGTGTCCTCAGGTTTTGCTGATGTCCTTCTACTGAGCATCAATTAAAAATATATTAATGACTGCAAATGTATTTGGTGCAAGCGTTGCACTAGGGGCTCAGAGGAAAGCACTTCAGAGGGTCATCAACACTGATTAAAGTTTTTTAGGCTGCACTCTCCCCACACTAGAAGAACTACACAGCACTCGTTTTTTTTTTAAAAAAAGCACAGAACTTTTTAAAAGACACTTCATGTCCTGGGAACTCTGGTTAAAGTTAAAAATAGTTTTCATCCAACTGCAATAACTATTCTCAAAGCTTCTAAAAAATAAGGAACTCGGCAATATATATTTTACACTCACCGGCCACTTTATTAGGTACACCTATCCAACTGCTCATTAATCAAATATATCTAATCAGCCAATCACATGGCAGGAACTTAATGCGTTTAGGCATGTAGACATGGTCAAGATGATCTACTGCAGGTCAAACTGACCATCAGAATGGGGAAGAAAGGGGATTTAAGTGACTTTGAACGTGGTTATTGGTGCCAGACGGGCTGGTTTGAGTACTGGGATTTCCACGCACAACCTAAACTAGGGTTTACAGAGAATGGTAGAAAAAGAGAATATATGCAGTGAGTGGCATTTCTGTGAGCACAAATGCCTTGTTGATGCCAGAGGTCAGAGGAGAGTGGTTCCAGCTGATAGAAAGGGAACAATCACTCAAATAACCGCTCGTTACAACCGAGTTATGCAGAAGAGCATCTCTGAATGCACAACACATCGAACCTTGAGACGGATGGGCTACATCAGCAGAAGACCACACCAGGTGCCACTCCTGTCAGCTAAGAACAGGAAACTGAGGCTACAATTCACACAGACTCGCCAAAATTAGACAATAGAAGATTAGAAAAAAAAATGCCTGGTCTGATGAGTCTTCCATCAACAACACGAAAGCAAGGATCCATCCTGTCTTGTAGCAATAGGTTAGGCTGGTGGTGTTTGTGTAATAGTGTGGGGGATATTTTCTTGGCACACTTTGTGCCCATTAGTACAAATTGAGTATCGTGTCATCGCCACAGCCTACCTGAGTATTATTGCTGACCATGTCCATCCCTTTTTGACCACAGTGTACCCATCCTCTAATGGCTACTTCCAGCAGGATAACACACCATGTCATAAAGCGTGGATCATCTCAGACTGGTTTCTTGAACATGACAATGAGTTCACTGTACTCAAATGGCCTCCACAGTCACCAGAACTCAATCCAATAGAGCACCTTTGGGATGTGGTGGAATGGGAGATTCGCATCATGGATGTGCAGCCGACAAATCTGCATCAACTGTGTGATGCTATCATCTCAATATAGACCAAAATCTCGGAGGGATATTCCAAGTACCTTGTTGTATCTGTCACGAAGGATTAAGGCAGTCCTGAAGGCAAAAGAGGGTCCAACCGGTATTAGTAAGGCATAAATAATAAAGTGGCCGGTGTGAGTATTATGTCCGCCTTTTCATATTTCTGTCTTGAGCGCATGTATGATCATAGTCTTAGATATATTTATTTTTTACAATTTATACATTTTAAGTTATTTAAGCAATTATTTTTATAGCATTTTTATGATTCCATTGTACTTGTGAAATGATAATAAAGATCTTTTCTGAAACAACACGAGGCTGAGTAATTAATAACATGATTTTCATTTTTGAAACTAACCCTTTAACTTCTCTAAAATCATGACTTTGATCCATTTTAACATCATCCATATTCATAAAGTATGAATGGTCATCATATAATAGAGCATTCATATGGGAGTAATAAGCTAATGACCACATGAAGGGGTAAAAAAAGTCCTCAATCTCAAATCCTATTTGCAATTCCCACCACTTATGAATTCCATGTTCCCCATGTGACATTATCCAAAGCTCTCCTTTCTCATCATCACTTCATCCTCTTTCCAGTCTAACCGCTCTTTCTCTCCCCTCTCCATAACCTGTCCTGTCCTGAGACGTGAGATTTTGCGAGCTTCTGCGGGCCGATGAAGATAACAGGGTGTCAGTCTTAATAGAGGTTGTGGTGGGATGTCTTTTGCGGAGAAATGTCTGCAGACAGCCGAATCGATGAGGTTGCATTTGACAGAGTGCTGAAAGACAGATCAGCAAGATGCTACCCAGAGACATTGTTCCGCTGTCAGTCTCATCCGCATTGACAATGTTATCTCTCTCGCTCTCGCTGGTATCAAGCATCTCTCAGGTGCTCCGAATTGGATGTCACCCCCTGAAGATGTGCAATTAATCTTTTGCTGTGTGTGTACGTTCTCTTAATACCTGTAAATAGAGAGTTGCTAGTATGGCGGATTTGGATTGAAGAGCTTAGGCGCAGATAAGGGAAATTAATTTTTCATCAGGAATAATAGCAGGCGTGCCAACGGGGAACACAAAGCAGGAGTGAGGGTGAGTGGAGAATTTGTCAAGTGTTGTCACTGTGGGATAATGCCGCTTCAGTGTGTGATTGGTGTAATGGAAGGCTGTGATTTCAATGGAGGGGGGATTAATCACTTTACACTGTGCTGAGAGCAGCGGAATATAGATAGTGAGTGCTGTTTTCACTGTGTCAGATTGTGCAGGTGTGATTTGGGGTGTCCTTGGGACATGTTTGAGCATATTGTTGTCTGAAGTTGGATTCATGCTCGGTGCATCAAAAGCAGGTGTTAATAAAGCGGTATAGGAGTGTTTGCATTTTGCTATGCATGTGCTTCTCTGCTTTTCTCTGTGTTGATTCAAACTAGGGCTGGGCGATTTGGCCTTAAATCTAAATCTCAATTGATTGAACATTTTAACTTGATTACAATTCATGAACAATTATTTCATTTATTTATTAAGAATTTCTGCCCTTATAGTTCACTTACAGGTTTTATACGGTAGATATGCACACATATTACAAGTGAGAGATTTCTGAATTAAAGGTGCATTACTTGATTTTAAAATAAAGTAAACACACACTACCTACTATCTATTATTTATTGAACATTTATTGAACTAAAATTAAAACACATTGCCAAAAACGTGGCTCTCTGCCCCGGCCACCGTCGTTACCATTACTAAACCGACCAATCACAAACCTGGCACTAACGTTACTCGTTGTTGTGACAAAAAAGTAAATTTTATAATAAATGCGCGGGTATGTGAAGGCTGCGTAGGACTGTACACGTGCCTGTTGCAGAAGTATAATATCATAATAATATAATACATTTAAATCATAATTTAATAAGTATAAATCAGTCTTATCAGAGCAGGGTCACGTCACTCCACACACGATAGGGAAAGTAATTGAAAAAACTGACCTGGAAAAATATGATCGATTGTAGGTTCTGAATTTTGATGTAGATTTATCGAAAAAAAAGTTTTTTATTTTTGCTTTAATTATTATTATTTTTTCTTTAGTTTACATGCATTTACGTTTTTTATGTCTGGTGGCACTTACACAACAAAAATGTGTTGCATTAAACAATCAGATTTAAAAAATATGTATATATATGTATATATATGCTTTTATTTTACATTTTATAAGAGTACATAAGGATAACATGTAATGAATGGGATGTAATGAATAATTTTTTTTTCAATACTTTTCCAATTTTTTTTTGCTGAATGAGACTTAAAAACTAAATTATTGCTAAATATGATTCAAATGTAAAAAAAAAAACAAAAAAAACATTTTAAAACATATTTTTACATTGGAATTATATATAGCATTTATTTAGTGTTTGTATGTCTGGTATGAGGAAATAAAGATCCTCTCCCTGTAAAACAAAGCCACTCATTATAGTGGCATTAAAGGAAATAATTAAAAGTAGTTTGAAATCTCATGATCCTACATTCCTTTCCACTCTGTTGCGCTCCATCTAACTGTTGTTGAATGTGTAGGCGGCTGTTCACACGTTGTGTTTTGTCTGCTCTCAGTAGGTGAGGTTTGGCAGTAGCATTAGCCGACTGCGCTCCTGCAAAAAAACAACATCAACAAAGCTGTTGCTTTAGAATTTGCCAAAAATCGTATAGCATTTTTACATTGTGTCTTTTAATTTAATAATTGCAGTCAATTTACACATTAACAACCCTAATCCCAGCACATTTTCTTACGATACCACTGACCGTCCCATGTGAGTCCATGTGAGAAAAATCAATTATGTCCAGGTCTGCTCTCCTGCAGGAGATGTTGTGATGCTGTCTAACATCATAACATAGTCTGTGGGAGTGCCATTGTTGTACATGACTGTAGGCCAGTTGTTTTGACTGTAGGCCTGGGGAAGCCCACTGCTTTCGCAGCAGTGTAGTGGTCAGGTGTGACATTGAGCCCCGGCCGGCCGCGAGAGAGGTGTGCAACCCGAAGCGGAGAGAGTCATGGGGACGCCTGATTTGTTTGTGCTCATTAAGCTCTGAGGTGGGAGGTGGGACACTCTCGGCGGGACAACAGGAAGGGGAATGCAGCATGGGAAGGTCAGGAAAACGTATGGAAAAGGACTAAAAATATACTCTGAGAGATGGGTTCATCCTTGGGCCTGCATGACATCGTTAGGGAAGGGATAAAGTTAATAATACATTCAATTAGTTGTTTTATTGGAGAAATATAGCTTTTTTTCTTATATAGTTCTTTAAAAGTTTGCAGTGTGCACTTTGGGGATGACAGTTGGTCTTGTTTTGTGTTTGTTGCTTGACTTGACAACTTTGGCATACATTATCTTCAACATATTTTACTTAAAATACACATGTGAGACACTATTTTAAGAATATGATGTATAGGTATGGACAGATACATTTGATTTATTTGATGTAGAGCATTGGAACACATTTGTAGACCACTTAAATTTACAATGCAGTGTCATGTTTAAGTGAAAATTTAATTGTTGTTTTGTTTTGTAAATTTCTAATGAACTTTTTTTTTAATTTAAAAGAAAAAATGTTCTTTCAGAGGACTTTTTTTTGCCTGAAATATAAAATTTTTCATTTTCCTTTTATATTTTGGGTGGAATAAATTTGTGGCGGCGGCACAGCGGCGCAGTGTAGTAGTGAGTAGCATGTTTGCATCATCGCAAGAAGGTCACTGGTTCGAGCCTCGGCTGGGTTCGTTGCCGTTTCTTTGTGAAGTCTGCATGTTCTCCCCGTATTCATGTGGGTTTCCTCTGGGTGCTCTGGTTTCCCCCACAGTCCAAAGACATGTGGTATGTATAGGTGAATTGGGTAGGCTAAATTGTCCATAATGTATGTGTGTGAATGAGTGTGTATGGATGTTTCCCAGTGATGGGTTGCAGCTGTAAAGGCATCTGCTGCATAAAACATGCTGGATAAGTTGGCGGTTCATTCTGCTGTAGTGACCTCAGGTTAATAAAGGAACTAAGCCGAAAAGAAAGTGAATGAATAAATGTATTTTGACATTTGTTTGTCTGTCCTGTTGTTTTAAATAACAATATTTTTGTTTTAAATTCAGAGGAAATTTTTATCAGACGTCAATAGAACAAATTTTTACTAATATTTACTCAAACAAGTAACTAATAATAGGTCTCTTCATTTGTACCGTATTTGATCCTCATTTTGTAACATTTGAATTCATTTTTCAACAGTCTAGAATTGGGAGTTCAAGCTCTGATTTCAAACCAGCGATGAGTGAAGAAGCAAAATCGGTGACTGAAACGAATCGCCGAACTGTCACCCTGATTCAGGAATCATCTCCACTTTCATTTCTGCAACACGGTCTCAAGCTGACCTGTCCAATACAGAACAAGGTAAATGTGTCACTGCATGTCGCCACAATTCAGAATATAAATATTCTTTAATTCACACGATTTTCCAATTTGTAAGTCAATAGAACCTGTTAATTGCATATCAGGAAGTTTGAACTATAAGAAATAGTAATATTACACATTTTATGTATTCATATATATATAATAATACTCTGGGTGGCACAGTGGGTAGCGCTGTCACCTCACAGCAAGAAGGTCACTGGTTCGAGCCTCGGCTGGGTCAGTTGGCATTTCTGTGTGGAGCTTGCATGTTCTCCCTGTGTTTGTGAGGGTTTCCTCCAAGTTCTCCGTTATCTCCCACAAGTCCAAAGACATGCGGTACAGGTGAATTGGGTATGCTAAAATTGACCATAGTGTATGTGTGTGAATGAAATTGTATGTATGTTTCCCAGTGATGGGTTGCAGCTGGAAGGGCATCCGCTGCGTAAAACATATGTTGGAAAAGTTGGTGGTTAATTTTACTGTGGTGACCCCAGATTAGTAAAGCGACTAAGCTGAAAAGAGAATGAATGAATGAATGAATGATGATATCCTGATAATGAACATTATCAAGGGGAAAGTGCTCCACCGTGAAGTCTATTCATTGTATTGTCAACTATATTTGCGCATTGCGGTCAGAATCCTAATTTGCTCAATATTTTCCTTTGGATATGCTCACCAGTACCTCAAAATCTGCTGAAATCACTGACCGGACATTTTTATGTAGTGTATTTGCTCTTGCCGCTTGCAGCATTGCTACTGTGCCATGATAGCAACACTGGGAAAAATAATGTCTTTCGACTCGTTCACTGTCAAAATTTTACTGTCAGTAAAATCTGTTAATTTAATTGGCTTGTGTTTTTTTTAAATTCACAATCATTAAACTGCTAAGTTAAACTTAAAGTCTTACAAAATTACCGGTATCAAGATGTGCTGTTCATTTGAATAAAGTAAAACTTTTCTCAACCTGTCACCTTGCACCACATGAGACACCCACATCCGGTCACCGATGATTTTCCAATGAAAAATAATTGTCTGACAAATGGTTGAGTAACTTTGCAAATAACGTTTGAACATGGCTTGATTTATCCCGCGTGGCCTTATTTTCAGATGTTTATAATTGTTTTAACTGTTTATTTCATGCCAAATTGAAGGCCTATCAAACCCATCAGCCACACCCTTCTTTAATCAAACATTTCTATTTGTGTAATACTAAAAATGCCATCCACCCTGTCAGTGCTCTACACTTTTGTTAGTCAATCGAGTCAAAGAATACATTGCCGCATCTCGTCCATATTGAAACATCAGCAGACACCAGAAGGGCAAACTAAATTGGTCATCTCGGCGTGTGCCTGGCACTCGCTGCAGGTTGTTGTTCAGGGGCGAGGTAAAGGCGGAGAGGGCCAGATGGGCAGTGCCCACTTGGTGCCAGGCAAACAGACGAGCAGTAGAGAGGGAAAAGGGGGGGTGTAGATGGGCAAGGCTGCAGACCTGGTGTCAGTTGAAGGGCTTTCTTCATCAACCGCTGGGGTCCATCTGAAAAACCTGCTGATGTCAGTAAGACCCATTCAGGTAGGTCAAATCTTCGCTCCCCTACCAGCTCCACCACTCACTGTCAGGCCCGTCTTCTCGCCCTGGAAAGCTGATACGATCAGTGCAATTTACTGTGAAACAGCTTAAGCCCTTTGTGAAAGTTAGTGCAGTTAATGACACGCTGTCCTGGTGAAATAAAACCATCTTAAATGTAGAAGCAGTGTCATGAGATTGGCATCGCATTCTTCTGTCCTTGGTGCTTGTTACCTTCGAGACATCTTCAATGTCAGTGTTTCATTCGACATTATCTTCTAAAGTGGTTTGAATGATTTCACTGTGTATTATTGCTTTCAGATGTACTTATGTTACGCAGTTTGTTTATTTGTTTATTCAGTTTGTAATATATTTGCTATTATAAACCAATCTTGAACAATGCCTTTACACCACCTTGATCATGTTTGTTGATGTTAATCTTAAGATTTGTTTCAAGATGTACAGTTGAAATCCTCCTGTGAATTTTTTTTATTTTTCAAATATTTCCCAAATGATGTTTAACAGAGCAGGGAATATTTTACAGTATTCCTATAATATTTTTTTCTTCTGGATAAAGTCTTATTTGTTTAATTTTGACTAGAATAAAAGCAGTTTAGATTTTCTTTTAAAACCAATATTATATCAATATTATTAGCCCTCTTAATCTACTGAACAAACCACTGTTATACAATGACCTGCCTAATTACCTTGACTTAACTTGCTAAGTTACGCCGCCTTTAAACTGCACTTTAAGCTGAATACTAGTGTTTTGAAAAAAATCTAGTAAATTATTATGCACCCTTATAGAAAAATATAAAATACATTAATTATTAGAAATGAGTTATTAAAACTAGTATGTATAGAAATGTGTTGAACAAATCTTCTCTCCATTAAACAGATATTTGGGGAGATATATACGGGGGTGCTAATAATTCAGGAGGGCTAATAATTCTGACTTCAATTATATGAACTAATGTTACTGATCGACAAAGATTAATTAACAGTGAGCAATAGTGCACTACCAATGAAAGTGTTGGTAATATTTAAAAATAAATAATTTTAAATAGATTTTTAATCCAATTCTATTTAATGTTGCATTTATTTGATGGAGAAAAAAGTTTTTTTAAAATATGTATTTACAATTTTATATTTTTTTATATATTTCCATCTGTATCGGCTCAATATAGGTACACGGTATGCATTACACTATTAAAATAAAAGTTAAAATGAATGAATCATTAGATTGCAACACTTTGACTATCAGAAGCAAGGTAACGATAATCAGGGTGCTTGTGGGTCTCAAAGTCTTAATGCATCAAAAGTTAAATTTGTCTTCTTAAATGCTACATTAATTCATTCATTTTCCTTCGGATAGTCACTTATTTATTAGGGGTTGCCACAGCTGAATGAACCAACAACTTATCCAGCATATGTTTTACACAGCTAATACCCTTCCAGCTGCAACCCAGTACTGGGAAACACCCATACACTCCAACACGGGGAGAACATGCAAACTCCACACAGAAATGCCAACTGGCTCAGCCTGGTCTTGATTCAGTGACCTTTTTCTTGCTGTGAAGCGACAGTGCTAATCACTGAGCCACCGTGCCAACCTTAAATGCCACAACGACTGATAAAAAAAAGGATATTTTTCTCTGTATTTTTGCTTTCCAATATACATGTCCAAACCTTCCTAAATCAAGACACGTTTACATGCATGTCTAACGAAGTCATCTTTATCTGAGAAACTAACAAAATGTGAGTCTAGGCTTAAAACATTTTTATATTTATCAATTTCACAGAAAACAAGATCACGATTCCTCCTGTGGGTTCTTTTAGTTTGCTTGGATCATTTAAGAATCTTTTAAGATTTGTGATAGACATTTTTTACGTGTAATTATAAGGTACAGTATTAGTGGGATTTAATGTTATTAAAATCTGTTGTTAAAATGAATGAATATTTTTTTATTATCAAATATGATGAATTTGTTCTTTGAACTCGTTATCTGCTCCCTATGAATGTGCATGGATGGAGAATGTTAAAATGTGATCTTCCCATCAAATTATGAATTCATGAAAAGTTTGACATCTTAAATTTACCTTCAGATAACCTGCAAATCCCTGAATAACACCATGTCAGATCATTTTTAAAAACAATTTCTAGAAAGGACTTTCTTGACCTTAGAAAGTGTCACGTTTGTCTGAATGTTAAATGCAGCATGCGTCTTGTGTCAGTTGCTTTTCAGCACCACATGTATCTTCCTTTTTACTTCTGTCACAGATTGTTTTTGATTTGATACTTAATTGCTCGTAAAGCTGAAGTAGTTTCCCCATAGTTCCCCATCACCTGCTGCTGCCTGGTCTGTTGATGTGCCTGTCTGCACAGTATGACTTTATCCCTGGTGTGCGCTCATCTGAAGGCTTGACGGGCTTGAGAAGCGTTGGGCTGTCATGTCCTGCATTACTGCACAGAGAGTGAGAGGTGATTGTTCACCGGCTGACACTGAAGCATCATAGCAGTGCCTTGAGCAACTCAGTCGTCAGATTCACACAGGCTTTATCTGCGCTTTCTTCACTTTGTGTGTGTGTGTGTGTGTGTGTGTGTGTGTGTGTGTGTGTGTGTGTGTGTGTGTGTGTGTGTGTGTGTGTGTGTGTGTGTGTGTGTGTGTGTGTGTGTGTGTGTGTGTGTGTGTGTGTGTGTGTGTGAGAGAGAGAGAGAGAGAGAGAGTGTCTCTACATGAGTGCTATAGATGGTGCGTGTCTGTGTGTACGTCTGCTCAGTGTGTGTGTGACTGTGTCTGCATGTGTGTTTTTTGTCTGTCTTTGAGTGTGTAACTTTGCCTGTGTGATTGTCTGCTTAGTGGTCAGTGTGTGTGTCTCTGTCTACGTATGTATTTTTGTGTGTCTTTGAGTCTGATTTTGCCTGTGTGTGTGTGTCTGCTCAGGGCTCTGTGTGTGCGTTTTTTTGTGTTTGAGTGTAATGTTGCCTGTTTGTGTGTGTGTATCCATCTGTCTGTCTTTCTGTGTGTGTCTGCTCAGAGTGTGTGCTTGTGCGAATGTATGTGTGTCTGTCTCTGTTTGTGTGCATGCCTGCCTGTCTGTGTGTCTAAGTGTAAAAGTGTACTTGGTGTATGTGTGCGTGCGAGTGTGTGTTAGTGTGTGACAGTTTGTCAGTGTGTAATTTTGCCTGTGTGTGTGTGTGTGTGTGTGTGTGTGTGTGTGTGTGTGTGTGTGTGCGTGCGTGCGTGCGTGCGTGCGTGCGTGTGTCTGTCTGTCAGTCTGGGTGTGTCTGTCTGCTCAGAATGCACAGAGTGTGTGCGTATCTGTGTTTTTGTGTTTGTGTAAGTGTGTGTCTTAGCCAGTTTATGAACCTGTGTATGAGTGTGTCTGAATGTATGTCTATGAATGAGTGTGTGTGTGCGGGGGTGTGTTTTCTGCCTATTCAGAGTGTGAGTTTGGGTATTTGTGTGTTTGTGTGTGTCTGAGCATGTACCCGTGTATGTCTGTCTGTGTGTCTGTGAATGAGTGTGTATGAGTGTCCTATACTGTGAGTTTATGTGAGTCTGTTTGTCAGTGTAATTGTGATTATGTCTGTATGTGTGTCTTTCTGTCTGTATATGTGCCTGAGTCTGTGTGTGTCTGAATGTCCAACTGTGTTTTTGTGTGGGTGTGTCTTTCTAAATGTGCATGCGTGTGTATGTGTGAGACAGAATGTGAGTGTGGTGTGTGTCCTTTCTAGCAGATTAAACAATTTAGGCCTTTTTCCTGTGGCTGTCATAAAGCGTTACATTTGCTGAGCTGACAAACTAATTGTCTGATGTTGATTTAATGAAATAAAAATGTGATCACACAGCAATGACTATGGAGTAGGAATTACATTATCAGTTGTTGTCGTGTTGTTGAAGATGATGTTAATCCTGTTATTATTAGGATTTGTATTCCGTGCATTGTGTTCAATCAGATATATTATAATTTTGTGAGTGGAATAATAATCTTATGAAGGATATGAATAATTATTATATTATGAAGAATGTTTGGAGATGGAACGGAAATGAGTTTCTGAAGGCTGTGTCCTTGCTCATTTAAACATATTATAAAAGTCCACTAGAGGGCAGGCTTAGTCGACTTGTTAAGCTTTAGGCAAGGCTGAGTAATGCAGGATCAATAGGAGAGGTTTGCTTTATTGTTAGTTATGTGGATGTTTTAGGGAATAATTTAAAATTATAGCATTTTAATATGTCATATTTTAATAATGTCAGTTTTGAAGCTGCTCAAAAACAGTATTTCTTTTAAACGTTTTGTTTATCGTAAAACCATTTAGAGCTATTAATCATTGTTTAGTTTAAAATATTTTTCACAGTAATTTTAAACATGAAAAAAAAAAACATTTTAATTACTATGGACATGCAGTGTTTTAGTATAATTTGTCAAGTTTTTTTTTTTTTTTTTGTTAGAAATAACCATTTGAATCAAACAACAGCATAAACACTAATGTTTTACAGTTTGGGTTGGTCCTTGTTTTTTATTTGTTTGTTTGTTTGTTTGTTTGTTTTAGATTTCTAAAATCTGAAACAAGATTGTAGTAGCTGAAGTTAGATTTATCCTGCTTTGACTGAACTCTTGAAATTTTCTAGTTTATTTGATCTTAAAGATTTGAGTGATCTGTTAGGTGTGTATTAAATAAGCATATCTATAATGTATTGCAGTCCTAGACCATTTAGTGATTTGTTGACAAGTAATAATATTTTAATATAAAGCCAGAGTAATATTAAATAAACAAACCAACTTCATAAGCTCTGCATAGCTAGTTTTTGGTGAGTTGGAACTTCTGCTAAAATTAATCTCATAATGCCATTATTTACTGACATTAATGTGTAGAAATAACATATAAAAATTTAGGAAATGGTCTTTCAATTATGAAAATGTTGTTAATTACTTGAAGGGAGTTCACCCAAAAATAAAGATTGTGTCATAATTTACATATTCCCTATTCCTTCCTTTGTCACAGTTTGTCAAGTTTTTTTTTTTCAAATATGAGTTTATTTTCTTCTCTTAAACCCAAAAGAAGATATATTGAAGAATGTTAGAATTTGTTGGTAACATTTGATTCAATAGTATTTGCTGTTCCTAACATTTATGTCAGTGGCTATCCAACATTCTTCAAAATATCTTCTTTTGTGTTTAACACAAAAAATGAAACTCATGAAGGTAAAATGAGTTTCCTGGTGTAAATGCTACGTTTTAAAGTAACTTCATTTTGTGCTGAACTATTTCTTTGACAATGTTCATTTGAGGAAATTTTTTATGATTATGATTGCTTACTTTGAAGCAGTTTCTATAATCGATTAATATTAATTGTAATTAAATTAAGGTATAAAAGATCCATCCACCAAATTACCTGTATAAATTTGGGCTCATAATTCTGAATCATTAGCTATCTGCTGAGAAATCTATAGTATCTGTGCATTTTTAGTACTTTGCATATACTGTAGATACCATCAGTGCAACAGTCAGCGCATGATGCAATTAACAACCAGCGTGGTGACAGGATGAGATCTCCACAAAAGTAATTTCCAAGTATTTACTAGATGTGCTAGCGGATCTATACCACCCACAGCGTCCCGCAGTGACCAAACAGCTACCTGGAATGTTAAAGGAAGCGTCTATTACATGCAACATTGCTTCTCAGTGGCCTGTAATGAGCCTGCGCTTTTTATGAAGTCACAAGCATCACAAAAACACCACTGACCATGACAGCCAGCAGGCCCACCGTCACCCTATAAAAATGGCCCCAAAAACGCTACTGGAACGTGATAATGGGCACCAGGCCGACATCATTACTTTTTAATGAGTGTCCCTCAAGGGTCAAACCTTTGATCTGACCTTTATAACCTTCTTTTGACACAGGTGGCCATCAGTGGAAATGAACACAGCGCTTTCATGTAAGTAGACTACAGTTTCATTCATATTTGTTTATGTGGTATTGGGTAGCATATACCATGATTTTTTTCTCTCTATTACAGACCCTTAGGTTCCGGCCTGAAAACACAGTCTGTTACTGCTCAAACCAGCTTCATAGTAAGACTGAACCACTAAGGACATCAAACCCATATTGTGTTCTTTGAGGTTTGTTGACGTTTCTGTTTGGGTTTGAGGTTTGTCTTTTTTTTGTGATTGTTGAAGACTGTGGTTTAGTAGTCATTGATGATTTAGTTCTTGGTTTCTAATAAATGCATAAACTGACTGGATAGTTTTGACTGGCTGTTCATGAAAGATGCACATGTTCATTTTAGTGTTGTAGCTCCCGTCATTTAAATAATAGCCTGATCACTGTTTGATAATCAAAATAGGTCAAAAGTTTGTAAGATTTGTTTCTATTATTTAAAGATATATAACACAAAAAAAGGGCAGAAACATTAACTTTTTTACTTTAACTTTAACATTAAAACAAATATTCTATCTTATTAGTCATGGCATTTTTACAGTGAACAGTGAATATTTGTCAGAGACATTTATTTATTTAGACTTTTATGACTTATTTTTTATTATTTCCCCATCCTTTTGATGAACCTTCATTTGCCATTTACTCATGCAGCTGTCCAGCACCATCTAGTGGCCAATTTAAATAATTATATTGTCAATTAATCAATTTAGTTTACTTCTATTGTAGCAAAATGTTTTAGAATTTGTAAGTATTAATTTAAATATTCTAATATTATTAATTCTAAAATAAATATGCTTTAAATTTAATGTGAAAATTTGTTTAAAACTAAATGTTTATGGTCATAAACAGTTATATTTTAAATATTTATTTAAAAAAAAAATATACTTAATCCCATTGTTTGCATAATATAAGAATTCACCATTTTTAACACAAACTGTTATGTATAAATGGATATGTTGATTTAATTTCAACCACACACACACAAACAGAAAAGATGAAAACCAAATACCTTCCATCTCAAATAACACAAGCCACTGAAAGAATATGTGGTTCACTGCTTCTTAGCTACAACAAGACTGCATCAGCTATTGTGCGGCGTCTTTCGCTCGCAACAGACGTTTCATTCTGAAATATTTTCCAAGACTCAGAACGTCTTGTGTTAGGGAATGTCAACATTTGCAAAGAGTGGCCCTGCTCTAATCCGGCAGACTGTGGGATTGAGAGAGGATTAGGGGCTAGTTTGTTTTCCTGGTCCCTTGGAATGTTCCTTTAGCAGTGCTTTTGTACCTGTGCCGGGCCCAAGGTCATCCCTCTGTCTCCACTCAGCTCCTTTTGTGTCTTCCAGCAAGTCTCAACCTCGCAGAGTCAACACCGCTCCCTCCTCAAAAGCACAGCGTGAGTGGAATTTCAATCCTTGTCGCAACACTCTGTAAATGTTACTTACTTTTCTCATTAAGCAATTTGAGTCTCCCTCCCTGACACCACCACCATCACCACCGATGTTGTGTTTGACTAAAATACTGAGGGGAAAAAGATCAGCATACTGGTGTAACTGTCAGTCTGTCTGCATCATTCATCACAGGTTTTGTGTCTGATTGAAGTCTGATGGATTAACTGACTCAGGTGGGCAGTGTTATTGAGCTATAGTCTCTGCTTGAACTTGTGCCAAAGTTAAGCTTCGTTGCTTTCAATTATTTTAGAGCTTTACGTGGATGAAGCTATAGTACATAAGCTCTTGTATGAAGAGTTAAATAGTCTTTGAATCATCTCCATGCTACTTCTTGTCAGTACAGTGAAGCCTTTGGCGGTTTTCTGAATTCAACATATCCTTTATGTTTCTTCAGTGTCTTTTAAGAAGATGTCTTGGACATGGCGAGCTTGTAAAGCATGATTTGACTACCCAGGGGACCATACAAATGTATTGATTTTTTTTGGTGAGATGTATATTCGCTGCTCAACTAACATCTGTTATGCCAACTGCCATGGGAATGCATTAACAATCATGTCAAAGGTTACACTAGGAAGAATATTTCAATTAACTGCTTTAAAGCAGAGGCGTTTCGATTTTTTCTTTATCTTCCGTTTATTAGAAAGTAGCTTTTTATATGAAGTTAGTTTTTTTTTTTTTTGCATTCAATATGCAATTTGACAAATAATTGTCTAATAATTATGTTATAGCACACTTCAAGTTGAGGGAATGGGAAATTCAGATATTGAAAAGCTGAAGATGCAAAACATATTTAACATAAAATGATAAACCTCCGTTTCTCTTGTTATTTAGATGTACTTGTGTTATCTTTTATGTAGTGTTACGGTGCCGTAACCCAGTAGACCCAGTAGATGTCGTACTACATACACACCATCAGCTGAGGTAGGCTACTCTTTCTGTGGAGATTTATAAAGCATTATAATGTGCCCACTGCATATTTTTAGTGATGCTAAATTTCTTTTATCGTCTGACAATATAGCGCTTCGCCAGAGGGGCGACTGTTAATACTGGACAATTAGCCTAATAGCTTACTAAAGTTTTGTCGGGTCTAACTTTATTATTGTAATTTAAATGGGTGAAATGAATCACGATTTTGAAGTAGCCATAGGACTTTACTGTAGCCTTGTGCAGTTCAGTTATATTTTGCTGTAAATTCCCTTTTGGGAAACTTAAAGACAGGTTCCGCGTGAGACAAAAACGTGTCAAATCCAGATTCACTCTCAAAAATTTAAGGGTCCTGAATAACCAAAAAGGACTTTTCACAGTAAAGAGCGTAGGCTAACATTTGAGAACGTTTTAGGAGACGTTTTGTTTTCTGTAATGAAGAGATTTCGTCGATGTTAAAAGTTTTTTTTTTGTTGAACCATCAATGATAATAGGCCTAAAAATAACTTCAATCGCTGCATACATAGTTCTTTTTGCGATGGAGTAAATTATTGGTAAATTGATAAGATTGGGTATTTTTATTTTATCCACGAGTAAACAACTTTATCAAGAGATTAATTTAGGATTAAGTTCAGAGTGCACTAAGTAACGAACAAAAGTAGAGTTCTTCATAACAATATAGGCATTAGGCTAAAACAAACCCAATAACAGTACCAGATAAAGATTAAGTATTTTGTTAAATAACTTCATAACAAGTTTTCGTCAATTCTTTACAACAATTACACATAATTTATTTTAAGGTCGACTCACTTAAGTCATCAAAAAATTTTCACACTGCGTACTATGGATTTATTTTGAGTAATCTGTCAAGAAATGTACATTTAAACAAAAAAACTGTTAGTGTAATGAATACACACCCGTTTGTCAAAACAATGCCACTTGACATAGGCTATCTAAACATAATGACCCTGAACAGTTCATTGATACATCCCCAAGTGTTTACATAAATTTAATACGCTTACTTTGCACTATTTCAAATAACGAAATGTGATACTGGAAATGCTTTTAGAGCCATCAAAAATCTAATATACAAATCTGAGTACAAAAATATAACTTTTGAGCGCCATCCTTTATGGTTATCCGATAAAATAGAGCGCTGCACACTGCACAGCCCTGCGCTTTCTCATATCTCATATAATCTCTTGTATGTTTCACAAAATGCGCACACAAAAACGGTCACATCATGCTTGAATTGGTGGGTACGTTTCCAGAGACAGGTGATCCAATAGAAATAAATTATTCAATGAACACTTTAAGGCTTTTCTTACAGAAAATAAAGATACATTTGAGTCCCACATAGTGATAATGTACAGCAGCAGTCTCAACTTAAGTGTAAAATCCCGAGTGGATGGAAAGAGTCTCTGTCCAGCAGCCAAGAGCCGATGTGAAACAGCATATTTGAGTACCAGTGGATACCATCCTCCTGAAAATTGACGTTTGATTCACGAGCCGGAAAAAGCCACGTCATCAGCTTGTGACACAACCTGACCGGCGCAAAAGCCCAATGTGCCCATTTGTGGTTCTCAATGACCGCGTAGCACGATGCCAACACCTGATCCACTATTATGGTTCCGTGCGCGGTGACTGGCGCAAAAGAGCCCTCGTGCTCCTCAGTGTAAATCCTTTTCACTGTAACGCTCTTGAGGCTCTCGCATGTGTCTTCCCACACTAAAACTGTATCTCCAGGCTTCACGTTGCTGGCAAATGTTGCTGTTATACCCGAAGCTGCTGAAGAGTTTCCAACGAAAACTAGGTGCGCGGCAGTGAGGGTGAGCTTGGTGAAAGGTTCTGACGTCTCGATGACGATGAATTGCCTTCTCGTTGTCGGATCGTGGTCTATAAACATAATAAAGTCGCTTATTAAGACATTTCCCTTCTCGTCTGCAGCCAAAACCCGGTCGCCCACTTTAAGATCTTTGATGGGTTTCCTCGTCCCATCACCAAGTGTCACCGTCCCAGACCCAGGAAAACATCCTCCTGATTTAGCAGCCACTGAATTTTCTGAGAAGATATACAAACACAAATAAATAGATATCTTTGGCAGATATTCATAAAGCACTTTGCTAAAATCGATGCTTTGGCAAAGTTTTGACATAATGGTGGTGATTTGGAATTGATCCAAACTCGTGTGATGACTGTCAAGAAGCAAGTGTTGAAACGCTTGTCTGGTCACTTTGGCTGCTGAATTTACACAAAGTCATCAGACATTGTCATTTAAATCAAGCCTACAGACTGTGCTTTTCCCTGATCCCTTTGGTTTGGTAAAACTGTTTACACAGGTGCAGAATCCTAATGTGACAAGTCGTCTATAGCGCACTTGGTGCAATTAACATAAACCGCATTTAACCATCTGATGCTGATTGCGAGTTGTTGTTATTCGGTAAAATTAATGTAGGCTAGGCATTTTATTAATTAATAATCTGTATTTGGGGGCTATATTGTAGACTAAATTACATTTTATGCAGCAATTTGAATCATTTTAATTGCTTTTTGAGCATAGACTTAAATGAAATTTCTAATATGTCTCGTAAATATAAAGTGCTTGGAGCACAGGTTGGGTTCTCTTATTTAAAGACATTTTCAAATAAATCATATAAAATATTTATAAAAGTCAGTACACTAAACTGCTAAATAAATAAAAAGAAGCCTTAACTCCAAGTTGTAAATAAATCCAAACTTGAGGCTAATATCTCAAAAAAAGCGTTCGTTGGGTGCAGTATCAGAAGTTTCCACTAGATGAAAGTTTGCTATTCCTTTGGACAATTACCCTATACCAATTATGTCAATTTTATATTTAATTGATTTATTTTTTGTGTGTAAGGTCCAAGAGCCAACACTTTTACCAAGTTTTTTCCATTCTGGTTAATATTCGAACTTTTTATAGTCAAAACTGAACAAAGAGTGCCGCATGTTAATGGTCTTCATATCAGCTGCCTTCAGTTAAAACCTTAAATAAGTTTAAAAAAATTTTGCTTCAGGTCTGTTTGTTTGATTGTTTGTTTGTTGTTTGTCTGTTTGTTTGTTTGTTCTTTCTTTCATTAATTTTCTTTTTGTTTTAGCCTCTTTGTATTAATCTGGGGTTGCCACAGAATGAACCACCTATTTATTTATTTATTTATTCATTTATTTATTTAGAACTCTGCTACATTGCAAAAAATATGTGGATTTTTCCACAAGACAGTTGTCAAAGGTTTTGAGCCGCTTTATGAAGTGTTTTAATGACTGAGATGACAAAGTGTGCTAAGCTAAAAGGTTCTCCAGTGTGGTGATTTGGAGAACCCCAAATGATGCCTCAATTATGCATATCTTGTCGCAATCTCTCTTACTACCTATGAATGTTTCTCAGATTAACACAGAAATAGAAGCAGCTATAAATGTGTATCTCTGAATGCATATTAGCTTTTGCTCACCTGCTTTGACAGAGCAGTGTATGTGGGCTTTAGATTCATAATAGACCCAGTCGAATCCTGCCTCCACTGCAAGCCTGGATAGCATCCCATACTTGCTTTTATCCCTGTCTGAGGTAGTGATGTCCACTGCCCGTCCCTCATAGTGCAAAGATTCTTCTAAATGGTGACCATCCTCATCCCAGCCTTCAGTGACGCGCAGTTTCACGCCGGGCCAGTGGTTCATGACGGATATGGCCAACGAATTTAACTTGTCCTTACAGCGCTGAATGAGAAAGAGAAACAAGTTGTCAATAGCTAGATTACAAACTTTTCTTTTCATAGTGTCAGAGTATTTACAGAATTTTCAGACGTCTTAAAAAGTTGACAATTATTTTAAACGCAATTATGATGAAGAACGAACCCATAAAACAAAATACCAAATGTAAGTCATGTCATAATTTTACAGATTTTAAATCTATATATAGTCCTCCTTATCGCATTGTAACAATTCCCAGTATAGTCACAGTACCTCAAGATCTATAGATCAGTGAGCATATTGTCGGTCTGAGTTTGTGCGTAAAAGATTTGTGCAGTGGGGAAATCGTTTGTTGCCATAGGTCAAGAGCGCAGACTCCAGACCGACCGATCGATAACTGAGAGGAGTAAATAGAGCTGAAAATTTAAGTTCTTTCTCTCAGCCTGAGCAGCAGCAATCAATTACAGAGACGTTGCCACCAATGACTCGCTTAACCGCCGATGCTGCTTTGATTAAATATCAGTTTCTTCTGTGGGCACGTGCTATCATTTTATTGTACAGGCTTAATTTGATGCTGTGTGACTCATATTGCACTGATTTGTAAATGCTTCAGAGAACGCAGCAGCGCTCACCGCGGGAGCCGGTAATATCCCATGGACGCGCAACATAAGTGGCAAAGATCATTTCTGACCCACATTTTCTATTAGGTAGCCAATAACAGAGGGTCTTAAGACCTGTTAAATGCTGATCTTGAGGAAGCGTATTAATTGATATGGCAAACCAGAATATATATATATATATATATATATATATATATATATATATATATATATATATATATATTACGCAATCCTTACGATTTGAGGAGACGGGTTGCTAATTATGTTATTAACTGTCAGTGGTCTTTTTGGAAAGAAGAAAATCTTCTGCTTATCACATGTTTTTAACCACTATTACTGAATTATTTAATGCTGCCAATTTTGCTTAAGGGGCAGTGAATGACGATTATTATTAATATTCTTAAAATGAATATTTAACAGAATGCCACAATGTAGTTTACTAGTTCATACGTGGCATGTAGATGTTTAATCTGAAAATATACGTCCAGCAGTTTGGTAAAACCATTATACCACTGCCGGGCTGTCAACAGTTAAACAGTTAGCGCTGTCAGTTTCTCCAAAGTGCACGGAAAGCTATAAATATGTAATAAAGCTTCTGTTACAACCAAAAATGGTTCCTACATCCTGGTGCAATATGAGAACCTATTGTAGTTACACCAAGAACTATTTATTTGCTAGTTATGTAATAAAACATGTATGCTTTGCACTGCAAAGTTAAAGAACACAGCATATTAATCTACAGCTCCTGTAATGCTCAATCAGTATTTGAATAATCTCAATAGCCATTCATATAGCCCAGAGCTAAAAGCTAAAAGGAGATCCACTATTCTAAGTGTGTGCGTTTGGGCAATTGCGCACGCCTGGTCCATACCTTGGTCATCAGCCTGTCAGCGTTTGTGTTTTCCTCGTCCTTAAAGATGATATCGGGATTATAATTCGGAATCAGCTCTTTAAATCTCTCTGAATTCCTTGTGATTTTGCCTTCGTATTTGCCGCTGGCTCCAAGCGTTTTCTCGGCAACGTTGGGGATGAATTGCTTGTAAGCCAACGGGGTTAATTTCTTTGGGTGTCTTCGTTTTCCATAACCTCTACCAGGACCACAGGCTAATCCACAAGGCGTCAGAAGCAAGCTGATAAAACACAGTAAAGCAAATTGCTTCAGATGCAGCCTTACGTCCATGACGTTTGAATTATCTCTTCTGGTCTTTAAAGTTTAGTCACTCTCAGGGTCTTCTCGCGCGAACCGGATGGATGCTGCCCAACGACCACTACCGAAGCAGGTGCAATAACGACCGCTCTCGATAGCCACTGAATGAGCACATTGGAGGTTGGCTGTCACAGCTAAGTGGGAGACGAAAGAGCGACTTAGTTTGACGGGAGGTAGGGTCAGACGCTTATGAGTAGAGGCAGTCTACCCATATGAATTACAGAGCAAATCTATGGCAGGGGGAGGGAGTCTATTGACTCGACGGAGAGCCGTCCAACTATGATGCCAACCCAGCAAAGACTGTCTCTATAACCCCCTCATTTCTGCAGAAATGACACGAACCTGTTCTCGCTTTGCTGTGCTAAACTCTAGTTCTTTGGGTCAATATGAATAAAACTATGCAAATAAAGTGTAGTAATTAGAAGCGAGCAGAAAAAAGAAGTAATTATAAAGTTTTAAAGAAAATGTGTCTTTGACAGAACCATTTCAGAATTACATTATTTCATTTCAATTGGTTTAGTTTTATGTTCCAAACAATTATAAATCAGACTGCATGTCGATTTGTAATATATAGGTATTGAGGTTAATGCGCATTTGGGGCAACAATAATTCGTCAGGTTTAAAAACAAATCTTATTAACGTAACGTAATAACTTATTGTTTACCCCTTTTTTTGGTATTGCTCTTTTTAATTTCCCTTCTGTTAATATGTTGTGACGTGGAAAACTGTTCAATAACGTGATTTTGTAAAATTCTAATCAAATCTCTCTCTCTCTCTCTCTCTCTCTCTCTCTCTCTCTCTCTTTCTCTCTCTCTCTCTCTCTCTCTCTCTCTCTCTCTCTCTTTCTTTCTCTCCTTGAAGTTTTGAAGCACATGACCCAAATGTATGCTGTAATTTATACTTTTTTTCATAAGGTATCAATACCTACACTTCAGTATTTAATGACACTATAAATGACTTTATTTTATTTATTTATTTATTTATTTATTTATTTATAAATTCTATAAATAGACAGTTTCTATCAAATACTTTTGTTGAGCTTTGCACAATTACAAACATTTTAATAAATCAATGGTATAAATGGCTGTGGTATTTTCAGATTATATAAATTTTTTCTTTTCATTCATTCTTTCATACATTCTTTCATTCATTCATTTTCCTTCGGTCTATTTCCTTATTTATCAGAGATTGCCACAACGGAATGAACCGCCAACTTATCCAGCATTTGTTTGCGCTGTGCGTGCCCTTCCAGCTGCAACCCAGTACTGGGAAACACCCATACACTCTCACATTTACTCATTCACTCATACAGAGGAAACCCACACGAACATAAGCAAACTCCACACAGAAATGCCAACTGACCCAGCCGGGGCGCGAAGGAGCGACCTTGCTGTGAGGCAACAGTGCCAACCACTGAGCCACTGTGCCGACTTAATTTGTCTTTTCATATAAAATATTTTAAAATTAATATTTGATTGTATTGCGTTGATTTTTTTCCTCTCCTTTTTGTGGGTGGGGGTGGGAGGGAATTGTCTTGGGGACCACTTGGAAGTTTGCTGAGGCCCTCTAGTGGGCCCCAGACCCCCATTTGAGAACATTTTCTTTAAATACATCTTTTTTGTTTTTCTAGAGTCATTCTTGTTCAGTGGTGTTTAGACTCTGCATGATGATATTTGTTTTATGGATTGACAAACAATGTCTTGGAGGAATCAGAAAATCTTTTTGTTTAATAAATGTTTGCATTATTAAGGTGATCATAAAGCATGTTGGACTTCTGAAAACATGTTTGTGTGTTTATCGCCATTTAATATCCACTGTTTGTGCTTCTTAATTTAAATATATCAGCATCTTATCTGATTATCAATTTTTTTGACCCACAGATAAGTAGTGGGGGTGTTTTTTTTAGTAGCCTAGATGCATGAATGGAAGCATCTCTGAATTTGTAACACCTACCTGGTTTGGCTTTTCAAGGGCTTCTGAAAACTGGCATATGAGTGAGCAAAAACGCACCCTCTTGCCATTCTGTGGTTTGACCCACAGTTGACTGTTGTGCTTTCAATGCTAAACCTGTCTTACTCTTAGAATTAATTGGCCAGACTGTTTATTCATCAAGTTTTATGAGCACATATTTATACAGCATTTTATTTTTATTTGCTGAAACAAATTGTATGCTGATTATCTGCATAATATCATATACATTTTAAATGCAAAATGTGACCATGGACCACAAAACTGGTTCTATGTTACATGGGTACATTTGTGGGAATAGCTAAAAATACATTGTATAAGTCAAATGATAGATTATCATTTAGGCAAAAATGAATTAGAATATTAAGTAAAGATCATCATCCATGAAGACATTGTTTTAATTGTCATATCTATTTAAACCTTATATCAATGGATAGGTAACTTTCAGGTGATGTATACAGTACATTTCAATTTTCAAAAATATACCCTAATGTCTGGTCACAAATGAGGATTTGTTAAACTTTGATAGCAGTTTTGCAACTGGTGACTTGGTAGACTGAGGATGATGCTGTCATTTTCAGAACTTGAACTTTCAGTCCTTCAAACACTGCTGTCATGGAAAAAGTTTATGCATTTTGGCCATCCGTTTTTGTTTACTTTTCATTGCCCTCCTCTCACCAGATATATCACCCCGCAGTAACTCTTAAAAGTATGAGGTGACCTTAACTCAACAAAAGCCTAATTTGTGAGATGGATTCGTTCTTGCAGTTGATTTAGATGAGATGATGGCGGAACAGAACGTCCTTGCACCATTTGTCTGTCCTGGCGACCAGTGCTGTCAATCCTGTCAGCTCTGAGTGAGGCATGCTGTAATGAAATGACACAAAGGTTACGCTTCTCGAAGTTAGAGTTAAGTTGAATAAAGTTTTGAAAAGATTAACCGTTTTGAGACACAATATCCAGTTCAAAGAATTTGAATATTTAGTGATTCTGTTTTGCCGGTTAGTTCCCTCTTGTGTCAGTAAACTGAATAAATATTGAACTAATTGCAAATCATTAAAACAGTTTTGTGGGATTTCTGCCGTTAACCTCTTTGAAAATGGAGGAATACAAAGGAAAACTTTAGCTGTGAGTCTGTTGTTTTTTTTGGTTTATGTGAATGCTCAGTGCTCAGTCCGTCTGGTCAGGTCTGAAAGGCATACTTCAACCTTTCTTTTTAGCCCTTTAAAATACCTGTGGACAGATGGGTCACTGGACCAGTTAAGCTGTTTCAGATAGGTATGGTTTATTCAGTCACAAAGCCAAAAGGCCATTCGCATCCACAGGAAATACCTGGCTTTACTAATGGGAGGCCTCCTTTTTATGTTTTGACGTACCCTTGTAAATGTTATGGCCTTCCAATATCTGGTGGTGAGACTTGTGGTGGTTTCTGACAATGGTTACGGAGTTACACATGGACGTTTTGAAGCATTCAAAGATCTGCAGCAAAGCAATGCCATTTTACTAAAGCACTGAGATTTTAACCCTCATTTTTTGAGATTCATGGCTTAAAGACTAACATGTTTTATGTTCTAACTAAGTATCTATTGCTTTCTTTTTGGATTTTATGATGTAAAACATTCAGTACCATTCTCTTGGATTCAAGGTTTAACAGTGGCTGACCATTGTGGGTATTAGGCACTAGGGATGCACAATATATTGGAATCAAATTGATTATTGACAACAGTACTTGTGTGTTGTATTTGCCAATATTAAATATTAAGTTTTACATGCACATTTCAGCTGTTTAACCACTTAGAAAACTTTTTACTCTCACTCAGAGTTAATCTCAAAAAAGTTTCTCAAATCTTGAAACGAGTGTCTGTATTTTATACTGTATATTCTAATGTGAATTATTTTGTATAAATACAAAATACGTTTTAAAAAATTAGTTGTAGATTAAAAAATAATCATTTGTAATGCTTAAGACGTATGAGATCTGGTGCACAAAGCCAGCTGAACAAACTCCGGATTGCAGATTAAGTTTGAGTAAGCTTAAAAGACTAATTAAAGGTGCAGTTGGTTATTGCCTTAAGAAATATTTTTTGTTGGTTGAAAGTCTTTTCACGTTCCAATAGTAATGATTAAAGTAAATGATCTAAATGTATTTATATATATTTTTATATTCTGGGTAAGGCATAATACTGAAACATGTTCATCCAATTAAAACTTGTTGGGCAGACAATTCCACTAATTCTGTAAATGTAGATTTGTACATCTGTGCACCCCGTTCACGCAGATCTGCTGTTTGAACGTTAGGGCTGTGGGATTAATCGAAACGAAATCGTAAAGGTAATCGTAAGAGGCTGCAGTATAAAAAATATATATGAATATATGTAAACAAAAATAACAAATAACATCTGAGGTAAAGTGCTGTTAAATGCTAAACTATCTGCAATGGTGTCGTGAGGCATCGCAGACATGGCATCAGATGTCGTGAACTATGCCACATTACACTAGAAGAGACGATTGAATCTTGTGTCACGACGTTTATTTCCATTTCCGACTTCCCACGACACCCTACATCAAGGAAATAGTGCCAAAATCTTGTGATCTGACCGGGGCTTTATAACTAAACACACTTTCATTCTGCCCAATCAAAATTGTGCAACCGAACTGCCCACAATAAAAAAAAAGAAGAAAAAAAAACAGGAAAGTGACAAGTGGGATTATGGCGTCTGCTGCTTCATAAGCATTAATAGATGAATTAATATTAAAGAAAAACAGCATTTGAAATATGGGAATATTTTGGTTTCAAACTCACAGACACTAAACAAAAACAGGTCATTTTTAAGAGCTGTCACAGAATTGTTGTCACAGCTTACAGATTATTGAGCTGAAGCTTGAATTAAATTACAATTAGCTTGAAGCTTGAATTAAATCATAAATCAAATCGCAGTCGCGATAATTATAAATCATACACTTTAAATCAATGATTATCAACTAAAGAGCAATTTGACTTGGCAATGCTTTAAAAGATGCTAGTGGACTGTGAGTGGCTTTATTGCAACAGATTTATGTCACTACTCACAACTGATTGGTCTAATTTTGGTTTGCATGGCGACGATACCAGATTACTCGACTTGAACCTGAAAACTCAGTTTGCTCTAACTAAATGCTATCTTTCA